CTTCCTTGCTTCCTTGCTTCCTTGCTTCCTTGCTTTTCTCTTTCTTTCTTTCTCTCCCTTTGTCCTCTAGACTAACGATACTAAACATGAACAACAAAACATGATCTAGTTGTTATACTAACAATTATTTATAATCACTTGTTCCAGGAGGCATACCACAGCTAGTGTTGGTACACCAGACGTTGGTCGACAAGACTTTCTTCTCTACCTGCTATCGTTACTACGAGGACAGTGCAACGAGCACGGTGACACCCTACCCAAGCTAGACGTATCTTCCCTCCGCCATGTTGCTTATGTCATGGACGCTCTCATCTACTACTTACGTAACAACCCAAGGGCGGTATCCCACGCGAATAAATCCAGTATCGATACGACCAAACCTGCAGCCATAGTAGAAACGGTGAATGATGAGGAAGGGAGTGATGATATTGATGATGAAGATAGTAGTAGTTTACGCCGTGATGATGAATATGATGATGATACTGAACCAGTTGATGATGAGCCAATGCCGACACCAACCACGGGGACTCTGCATCAGTTCTTCGTACGTACCGACTCTACCACCGTGCTAGGCTGCGAACCTCCCGACCCCTTCCATGCCCCTATAGAAGAAGCCCTGCCTCTTGCCTGCCAGCCTCATCTACTTCACCCTAGTGCTCGTAGGGAGCAACTCTTCGGGACCGGATCGGAGAAGAATGCTTCTATGAAGGGGAAAGATAGTACACGAACTATGGCTTTGTCTAGACCTGATGTAACTTTAGCATCGGTAGAACAAGAGGAAGCTGCTGCTGAAACGCGGCCGCAGAAAGACCAAGAACATAAAGGTAAGGGAAAAGTGGCTTATTTAAAGTTTAAGGGAAGAGAGGATATTCGGAAAATCGTGCCAGGAGATTAAATATAATTCAGTATATGAAATCGCACGACTTCGAGTACAACTCGTAATTAGTAGACCCCTTGCAGCACGTCGGAATGCAGCTCAATTTGGGGAACATAACAATATGTTTGCTATTCTCAGGAGATTGAAAATCTTTTGTTTTGTCTTCAAAATTGAGCTGTTTTGAAATCACATCCGAGGGATTTTTAGGCACAAGTCTTGTTTAGGCAAGTGCAATTTAGGAGCTTTCAAAACATTATTTGTTGTACAAGAAGATCGTGGTGCTATTGCGCATTTATAGTACACTCAGAAAAATGGTATATTAAAAGTTATGCGTCACCGCCACCTTCCTCCCACACCTTTTTGATAGTAATTTTTTTAAAAAGAATTTTATTTTATTTTTCTATAGATAAAGAAGATGGCAGCCTTAATCTATCTGCACCCTCTTCAAGCCAGTCCCAGGCCTTATCCATACCTCGGCCATTCATAACGGGTGGTACACCAGCTAACTCGTTACTAGGTCGCTGGAGGCTTTGCGTGGAGTTGTTTGGCCGTTTGTTCCTTGAGGATGTTGGGGCTGAGCCGTCGTCTGTGTTGGGAGAACTGGGCCGATTTGACGTCAATGAGACGAAATTTAGAAGAGAAATGGAACGATTGCGGAACTCAGCTCAGAGAGATTTGACTATCGAGGTATATGAGTATACTTATTTATACGCTAGATTAAATGCGCATTACTAAATTCGTCCTGTGGGTGGGTGGGCCGTGTGCGATTGGGGCGGGAAGAGGGGTAGGAGTGGAGGCCCATATGGAATTGTCGGCGGTGTCTAAAGAACACTGTGTTGTTCAACTTTTCCTTGAAACGAAGGTTTTCTCTTGGTTCTCTTATTTTCTGCCCTGATAAAACATCAATTTGCAAGTTTCATTCCTGTGAAGATAATAATCGTCCAATATTTGTTATCAGGTCGAACGTGGTCGTACAACTATCATCCAGCAAGCAGTACGGCAGCTGAATACTCAGTTTAGTCGACGTGGTCCTAACTCTCGTCCAATGACAATACACCGTGTGAAGGTGTCATTCAAAGACGAACCAGGCGAGGGAAGCGGGGTGGCACGTAGCTTTTATACCGCATTGAGTGAAGCTTTGTTATCTGGGGAAAAACTACCAGCCATGGACATGAATAGAAGTGAGTATCGAAATAGTAAGTATTCAGTAAAGGACCTTTATTCATTTACAAAAAAAATTTGTCCACCTCTAAACTTCACTACTCTGTCCCTCAAACTCTCCCGCCCCATCTCAGTACCATTCACTATACCTCACCCTCTTTGTCTTTCTTTTCCAGCAATAGCTCAACGTCTTCGTCGCGCAACATATCGCTATAAACGTGACCGTGATCGTGATCGTGAAGCGCGTCGACGTCTGTCAACAGACGCTAGACCATTTCACTTTAGTGGCAACACAGAGGATAACGATGGGGATGGTGAATCCCTACCCTACCATAGACAATCTTTAGGGGAGCGACTCTATCCAAGAGTACATGCGTTGCAACCGGTAAGTTACTACTTAGAAGAGATTTTCACTCATTGCGCACTGACGCATGCGCGGTAAAGGTTATGCTTCTCGGTAATACCAATAATTTCGTTGCCAGATGATAATAATCTCATGATCGTAATCAAACTGATATTTTCGTTTTCTGTCCTGTGCTGTAGAATCTTGCAAGTAAGATCACGGGGATGTTACTGGAACTGTCTCCAGCACAACTCCTTCTGCTATTAGCCAGTGAAGATACGTTGAGACAACGTGTTGAAGATGCCGTGGATGTGCTGCTAAGCAACGGAAAGTAAGTGTTGCCTGCTCACTTTCTATTATTCTCTTAGGAATGTGTTCAAACTGAAAATACAAGAAAAGGAAAAAAGAAACACTAAGTTGTGGAATACCCTTGATTTTTTGGGGAATCAAGAGACGGTTCTCTCCTGTGGGGTCTTAAGTTCGATGACTCAGATTATATAGCATCACTAAGATATTTTTATCTATCGACAGGAAAGGATCAGCTAATAAAGATCAAGATGGCGAGACAGCAGGCAATTCCAGCCTGGATGGAGAAGAAAACAATGAGGATTTTACACCGTTATTCTATCAGCCTGGTAAGGTTGGTTACTATTCACCCAGACCAGGACTCTGGACTGAAGAACGACTCAACTGTTATAGAAACGTTGGAAGGTTAGTATGTACTAATGTCTTTTGGCTTGACTTTTGGGTCGAATTTGTTTTATTTTTTTCTTTAAGGACTTATGACTAGCGAAATAATTGGTTTCAGAGGCCATACCTACGGTTTTACAGATGTGGTTTTACAGAAAAGGCCATATATATTGTTAGCAAAACAAACTGGGGTAAAAATATCAAATTTTACTAACGAAGGCAAAAAAAAGAAAAATCACTAGGATTTGACTATTTGACTGTTTTACAGATATGGTTTTACAGAAAAGGCTATATATATATATATATATTGTTAGCAATAAAAACTCGGGCAAAAATTATCAAATTCTACTAACTAACTATCGAAGAAGAAAAAAACAAACTAGGATTTGACTACCGGTATTTGATTACCGTTAAGTTCGAAACCTGCGCGAGGTTTGAACATTCAGAACAATCACTTTGTTCGCCGGAAAAGGATTGGAAAATAAATGGAATGAAAAGATAAAGGCAGGAAGAAAATGATCAAATGAAAAACGAATGAATTGATAAGCGGATGGATGGATAAATCGATCGATGGAATGAATATTTTAATGAAAAATGAAATAAATGAATGAGAGAATAAGAGAATGAACGGAATGTTAATAATAATAATAATAAACTTTATTTCAAGAGGGGACATTTGACAGTGGGAACTTATAAACTCATGGCCCTCAAATACTAAATATTAATATATATTAAAAAAACACGAAAACTATAAGTATATAATAAAAATAGATGCCCCATCCCACCCAACAATACATTAAATCCCCAACTAATAATGAAACTCAAAGAAAAGAATAAGAAGAACACACTGACTAATGCCTATTGTTTTCTTGGATGTTTGCAGAATTGTTGGACTTTGTCTCCTCCACAATGAAGTGTGTCCCATGTCTTTCAACAGACACGTGATCAAATACATACTTGGACGTAGGGTATGTAAGAATTGTAGCGAATACAAAACTTTGAAATGATTTGATAGTAGCTCCAGGATTTCAGCTACCATTTGAAAGGGAGTGCCAAATGAGATTCGAATGTTGTTTTTTGGGGGGGAGGGGGGGGGGGAGGGCAACCTTGCAACTGTGTACACCTTTTAACTTTGGTGCAGTGTTTTCTTATTTTAAGACACGTGAACAGCCAGGTTTTTTTTCATTCCGCTCTTTTGACGCGCCAAGAGGGAAGATGGAAAGTTTGGAAAAAATTGACGCAAGCGTGGGGCTCCATAACACTTCCCCCTTTCTTTGCGTATTTGGGTTTATTAGTCTTAAACTATATTTTTTTAGATTCCTAGTAAAGAATCAGCTAAAATGCGACGTCGAAAATATAATACCTTCAGTATAACTGTATTTGACTCACATTTACCTCATTCCAGATTGGCTGGCATGACTTAGCATTTTTCGATTCCATGTTATACGAGAGTTTACGACAGCTTCTCGTAACAGCCGAAGCTCCAGATGCAGAAGAAAAGTTCCAATCCCTTGACTTGACCTTCACGATACAACTGACCCCAGAAGAAGGAGGCTCTGTTGTTGACCTGATGAAACTAGGCAGGAACGCAGCAGTGACGCCAAGCACTGTACAGGAATATGTTCGACTATATGCTGATTATAAGATGGTCACAAGTACCAAGAAAGCTTTGCAGGTATGGATGGATTGATGGCCTAAAAAATTCACGAGAGCTTAATTTTTAGGTGATTGCGAGGGAGTGGGGATAAGTTTGACCTTGCTACTTCACTCGCCCCCGCGCGACCAAGTTAGGGGAAAGAGTTAGGTTAGAAAAGAGAGACTGTAAGGAGAACAGTGTACTAACAGCGCGACATAGAATCGGAAGGTTCAGGTTTCGGTTTCCTTATGCGCACCAAGGAATATGAATGGGCACTGTAGTCAGAAGACATAGTGAAAAAAAACATGCTCATTACTGAAAAAAATTTTCCGTTAGTCCATCCTTTCCCTTCTGACTAAAGCAGAACGAACTTACACTCGGATCTTCTGATTCTCCTTTCCATTCTGGCACTCACTGAAGACTCCAAAACATGCAATTACTCAACCTTTTTCTCGCCCTGTTTCATTTAGTCATTCACTCTTAAAATTAAAGAATGATCCGGCTTTTACCTGTATGGATCAACAGGTAGCTATATAATTACACATAACGTATTTTTCATAAAGTACTGTAGTTAATTTTGACTATCTTTCTTGTGATATCCAGAGTATTCGTGATGGTGTACTGGATGTTATCCCATCATCATCACTCGATAACCTAACACCAGAGGACTTCAGGTTGTTATTGAATGGCTGTGGTGAGATCAGTGTACAACAGTTGATGAACTATACCTCATTTAACGATGAGACAGGGGGTAAGAGCACTCAACACACTTATTATGCTTATTCCAAGTGAATTAGACGTTTAGTTTTCTAGATAAAGAACCTTGTGTTTTCTATTATAGTTTCTTTCCAAACCGCACTAACTTGTCATACCTTATGTGCGCGTTGCTTAACTAGAGGTATTCCATATGTCGCCAGAGAAAAAGTTTCTCATTATGGTTTGTCTGTCTGTCACTTTGGAGCGACTTGTTTGCTTTGCTATATATCAAAATTGAGAAACAATTAAACAATATTCTTTCAAAGGTGCTGGTGCTGAAAAACTCTTGAAGTTCAAGAAGTGGTTCTGGTCGATAGTTGAGAAGATGAGCAACAGTGAACGACAAGATATGGTAAGCAAGTACTGGGTCAATAATGACAAAGACACTTATATATGAATGTATATGTCAACAAAAGTGATCAGAAAAATCGTACCCTTGCTAGACAAATACTAAAAACTGGATCACTTTTGACGTTTTAAAGTCTCAAGAGGGCTAAGCTTTTTTCTTTTTCTTTCTTTTTTTTTTGTTTTGTTTTTCTTTTTTTGTGTTTTTTTTTTTGTGTGTTTTTTTTTTTTGCAATTTACTATTGGATTGTCGCGCAATACATTTCTATCGTATTCCCTTCGCAGTATCATGAAAGTTAGATTGATGTTTATAACTTTTCCTTTTCTATTGCGCATGCGCACAGGTATATTTCTGGACATCCAGCCCCGCCCTTCCCGCCAGTGAAGAAGGATTTCAACCCAAGCCATCGGTCACAGTCAAACCTGCTCATGACCATCAATTGCCTACAGCCAACACGTGTATTTCTAGACTGTACATCCCACTGTATTCCTCTAGGGCTATCCTGAAGAGTAAACTACTGCTAGCTATCAAGACAAAGACCTTCGGCTTCGTTTAACAAAGAACCGAACTTTTCTGATTGCGCATGCGCATCCCAAGTCCATTTGCCAGACCTTTTATGTATCGCACACTAGCGATGTTTGATTTAATACTGAGGTCTAGCTTCTCTTTTGCGAATCGTAATGGTGTACTGAACGTTATTGAAATTACCAGAAAGAGCATTTCTTTCAACATGATCATGTTTCAGTTTCGAATCACATTATGGCACTCTCTCTAGTCCACAACTATCCTAAACTTGGATTTTGCCAGGGAAAYATTAGGTGAGAGTGTACCCATGATACTAGAGCCTCTCTTGGTATTGCTCTTTGCTATCAGATAAAATATCCCGGTTAAACCCAACTGGCTTTACTCTTCTTAAATGAGATTGTCTATCACCATGTCAAGACATTTCAAGCGAACATCCAAGTTGCAAGTCGTGAAGAGAAATGGTGTTTCATATTTTACCGTTCAATTCCAACCTCCATTTCCAGGCAATGTTTTAAAGTTATTTTGAAGTGACTGTGAGAAATTCTCTCAAAAACAGAGACGCAGAATGCAATCTTGTGCTGAGCATGCGTCCCTAATATCTGCTGACCACAAGGAATGTAGGCTCTAAGGACGAGATTGAACAGAATTCTGCAAGGGATGTTGTTCTATACGTATGTACAGTGCATCATGGAACTATAACATTCTGAATCCAATGGGCGAGAAATAACAGTGTTGAAATGCGATATATATAATTTCAAAGGAAATCTATCGTATTAGTATTTTTTTTTTCAAATTCCTGACACTTAGAGCTCAAAGTACCCAGGTAGTATCATTTTGTTTAATAGTTTTTCTGTTCTATCTACATCTCCATAAAGTTACTTAGATAGTTTATATAAAATTATAAGTATGAAAATTCAAGAAAAAACGCAAAACCTGTGAAAATTTGAATAAGTGGAGTAATGGGAAAAGAGAAAAATTAAAATATGTAAAAGAATTGACAATACTGTCTTCTGTTATAACCCGGTGGCAGATTACCAGAGTTAGTACGATTAAGTGTTTTGGCGCAAAAATTCCCGCCAAATCCACAGGTAGCACAAAAAATAGGATAATTTACGGAATTTACGGTGGGGGTAGGGGGGGGGGTGGGCATTGCTCACTACAGACCTGAATATCTCAAAACTCGGGCTGTAGAACTGCCTCGAAATTTTCTTTTTAATTTATTTGATTTATAAACCAATAATTTAAAATGTTTAAGATTTTAAAGAACAATTTAATATTTTTTTGGAGGAGGTGGATGTGCTAGTGACTTTTAAAAGGCTCATATATTATTTATACTAGTATTTTGACCATCCTCTGCAGCAAGGCCTGTTTTGTCCTGTTCTTGCTCAAATTCCACTGGTAGCGGGTTTTCATCTTTGGGTGTGTTCCATGACTGTTCTTCACCTTTAGCAAGAAGGACAAACCCAACTGTGCCGAGTACATAGATAATTGCTGTGATGTAAAGCACCTTTTGCCACTGACGACGAGTTGGCTAGAAAAAAATTAAATGTGATTTGTTTGTTTAGAAAACCACTCTCAGCTTTTGATTATTCCAAACTCCAATTATAAACCTCTTTAGCATGGGAATGTTTCCCCTTTTCAGACCACGTGTCATTCCCTGAAGCATTATTTCTTTGTTTAACGGTTGCGCATGAGAATTAGACACAAGAATATGGATACAACTCAAACAAAGAATATTATTCTGAAGAGAATGACACATGGTGCGAAATGGCAAACACCGAAAAAATGTCCCCTATTTGGGACCTCATTTTATTCCCTTGATTATTATGCTTTTGTTTACCAGTAAACTGCTTGAAACTGAGGACTACGGAGCACCTTAGAAGGGGCGTCGGTGGGTGTAGGGCTTGGGTTGAAAAAACAACTGCATAGGGAGAACCTACATAGTTCTCAGTTGATGTAATGTATTCAGAAAATATATTTGTATAATATTGTCGTTTGGATTCTATCGGTTGTATTAGGTGTGATTTATTATACATTACATCAACTGCTCGCTTCATGGGCTCTCCCAGCATGTACGACCTAAGAGTCGGCGCATGATTGCGAATTTAGCGCATAGACATGCTATAGCCCCTGTTCTCAACCCCAGTTTGAGAGAGAACTTGGTTTGTTTTGACAGCTCACTGTCCTTTGCAAATTTATGACTAGTCAATTACCTCGTTTTTAGTCAACCAACCAACGACAAACGGTGCAATAACTCCAGATGCTGATCCAATAGCATTGCCAATACCAGAGATAATCCCCACATAACGAGGTGCAATATCCATTTGATTAACACTATAGCCTGACTCGCAAAGTGCACTAAATCCCATTGAAGCTGATATCAATGCGACTGCCAGAACTTTGCCATCGCTTCCGATGTAACTTACAGATATAAGAAGGCAAGTGGGGACAAGAAATGCTGAAATAAATATGTGATATAGAAACGTCAATTTATGAAGATAACAAAAAAACACTACATGTACATGTACCTTAGTCTTAAAAAATAATATTATTAATTTATGTTGCTTTATTTTTCCATTTGTTGGTTTTCAGTCTTGATTTTAAAACGCTTCAAAACTGTGCAGATAAATGGGTTATTTCTGTGATTGACGTGGAAGCCAACAAAATGTTGTAAAGTTGAGTTCAGATAAAGCATGGATTATCAGTTTTTATAGTATCAAGATTTATTACTGAAAATTGGAGTTTATTCGAATTATCTAAAATACTTTCTTTGGCTTTTGAACGGGATTTTCGGACAGTCGTTTATTTAGTCGATTAAAAATTCATTGAGGATAAATAAATTATCTCTGTGATTGACGTTAAAGGTGCTGACACGCGGTGCATGCAACATTCGAATCGGGGTGACACACATTGCAACAAAATCCCGCAACATCGCTTGTGTCAGCCTGCTATGTTAAGATATTTGGTCAGCACTTATAAATTTGGTGCAAGCTGATTGGCTGGAAATTTCAAAATGTTGCAGGTAATATTGCAGCCATGTTCACACGATGAAATTTGTTGCGCGCAATGTTGCAAGATTAGAGCGCGATTCAACTTCAGATTTGTTGCATGTTACGTTGCGTGCAACAAGTTTCATGGGTAGACACGATGCAACAGTCCTGTTGCGTGCAATGTTGCACCGTGTGTCAGCACCTTAGAGCCACTAGAATGTTGCAAAGCTAAGTTCAGATAAATATACTTTTTCAACCTAGAAAATCCCAATCTGAAGTTAATTTCGTTCTAATTTTCAGAGTAAAAGTAAGCGAATTTAGGAGATTGGTTTTGGACCTCATCGACTAGGTTCAAAAGTCATGTGGGACTAATAAATCTCTATGATTGAACTGGTCAATAAAAAGTTGCTAAGCTGATATTTATTCATATGTAACCAAAGCATTAACACCTACCACCAGTGTTGAAGACTTTCCTTACATCGGCAATCTTACTACCAGTTGATATAAGCCAATCAGCCAACACTGATGCTATGATTTCAACTATCGTACAGCACAGGTATGGTATTGATGACAAAATACCATCCTTTAAGAAGGATAAAAATGTTAGTTTGAGCCCTTACATTTACATGAAGGTAAAGTGACTCTTGTGCTAGGGCCATATCTTTCTTTGGTGTCCCCTTGGAATGGAACAAATGATATCCCTAGGACCAGGGCCTACTCCATCTTCATGCAAACAACCTCTCTGGCCTAATATTTTAGCTGCAACATTTTTGTGCATACATTCAAAAGAAGCGCCTTTGCAATCCTTTCCCTCCCCGTCTCTTCCTGAGTACCCTTTTCCTTAATTCCAGAAATATCCCATTTAAATCTCAAGCGAGTTTTAATGGGATCCCGTTGCACACAAGCTCAATCCCGTTGCAAACAATCAAGCTCACATAACTGTGATAAATTGACTTATAAATTCGGCACTTTAAAGTGCA